AGTATTATGTTAATTTTACATTGAAGTAATAATCAAAACGTCGTAACACAAGAAAAGTTCTACATTTTGACGCACAATTTTTTACTGTGTAATATCGTACGTGCGCAACGTCGATTAAACGCTTGTGTTCCGAGAGCGCCGGGAGAACGGAGAATCGTTCGTTTCGGGAATAAAGTGTCCGCGTGGAATTGTTTGGGAGCAGTTCCAGAAGGAGATTCCACGAAGAACGAGATCTCTCTCTCTCTCTCTCGAGAAAGGAGCGTCCGAAAAACTTGGCGCCGTTCCGCGCTGTCCGAGACGTTATTAATAGGGGACTCTTCGAACTAATCGGGTCCCTCGTGATGGCAAAAGGAATTGTTTTTCTCGTCGTAGTATCGGTAGTCGGCTATGCCTCGAAGTAGGAGGAAACTTGAAGCGCAAAAATTACGATCGGAGAAAAGACTTGGAGAAAATCGATTGATCCGAATTCGTTTCCGGCGAGACTCTAGACGACAATCTAGACACACTTGTGCACAACACAAAAATCGACTTAATTAATCAGACTAAGATAGTTTGTCACGACGATCTATCCATTACGTTCTTGCGTACCAAGTACTTAACGTTCTTTCACTAAATCAAAAACTATAACAAGTCTGTTGTAATTCAAGGAAATTTAATTAATTTAGAGAATTATACGCAAACGTCAAAAGTATAGAAGAGGGATAGGGTAATATAAATGTGTGTGTGTGTATCACACACACACGTGGAGAAATTTAATTAATTTTACTTGTTGGACATCAAAATATTTGTAGCGTGCACATATTTGATTTAATTTGGTGGAAAATCAAACGAATTGCAATTATTTTATATTGCGCGTGATTGACGGTAAACATGTTGAATGCGGAATGTTTGTTGCAATTAAAGGCATATAATTGGTCAAAGCGACCACCCCCGTTAATACTCGTCGCGTATCGAGACTTTTGGCAATAGAATGTTTAACGCCATGATTAACTAATCGCACCAAAGTTGTAAGTGGCACACCGGAAGCGAATTCGAGTTATATCGACTAGACTTTACACACACATCTCTACAAACTCGCCTATTACAAACTCTCTCTCTCTCTCTTCACTGCTATTACAATTATTAACGATTACATATAAATATATATTAAGATACATAGATACTATACACATTGTTTCCGCATGATGTAAAAGAAATTACTGTTGGTAATGAAATAAAACAAATTATACTTGTCACACGTCTCTTCATTAATTTTATTGAAAAATTGTGAAACTACACGAGAGAACGTGTTAGTTTCCGATGTTCCTTCGGTTCCTGTTTTTTAGGATTTTTTTTTTTTTGTTTTTTTTTTTGTTTTAACATTTGTAAACCTTGATTTTATTTACGAATATATTCAAACAAATTTAAATGAAAAAAGAATATTTTTAGGTTGCTCGTCCCATTAATTTTGATTTAATGCACGTGCTCGGATTTTAAAGAGGATTAAATTCTGGGATATGTGAATACGGTAATTTTGCAGAACAATACCGACTCGTTGCGAATAATGAAATAAATTGAATAAATGTACTCACCGAACGCGTTGCATCGTTGCCGCAATGCTGCTGCTATCAACTGTTCCATCGACATCAATTTCTGCTTGAAACGTTTTAGCCTCAAGTCCATCAAGTCACGCGGATACGAACGAAAACCGCGCTTAATTGCAATAGCGCACGCTGACCAATTCTCCCGTGCTTGACATATCATTTTCAGCACACTTGAGGTTGAGCAGACCTGCGGTAATAATTAATACAAAATTAAGTATTCGAAAAAGAAAAAAACGTTATTATTGTTACATTTTTCCCATTGCCGGTTTTTTTGTACGAAAGTTTATAGTAAATATACAAAACGACGCGTTAAAAGAATAGAGAGAACTGTGTTTCCTCTTTTCGTTAATTTTTCTCTCTGTTTATACACGTGTATATAATGTACATGCAAATAATAAAAATTTAATTATATTATGCACATCACGTTAATCACGTTTATTATTGCTGAGGAATAAATGTTCACGGTACAACAGGTATTATTAACAAGGATCATTACAAGGATTATCGCGATTGACATCATTGACCCCGCCAAGCCGAGATTGAACCGCATTACCATCCACGTAACCGAGAAAATGCGGTTAATTACGCGCATGCCAATTAACACGCCGTAATGATCGCACACGCAATTGCGCCGGTGTCATTGTCATTTTCTCTTAATAACGCTGAAATCGCTCGACTTTGAATCGACGCGGTCGCGCATTTTGCACATCTATTGGAATATATCGCGTGCCAACGCGGGCTAATTAGTATATCACTTATCTTAATTAATTTGCCACGTTCGTGACCGATTATCCACTCAAGTTCTCGCCGCGTTTCGTAAGCAGCGTAAATTGCGCGAATCGCGTGATGATTGATCTTGATTCGCGATTACACCGCGACAATTAGACGCCACAAGTATATTACTTTTTTTTTTTTTTTTTTTTTTTTTTTTTTTTTTTATTACAAGACGTTCGAGAATCGCGCGCGACAGAACACAATACACTTGTTCAAAATGCGCGNAAGACGTTCGAGAATCGCGCGCGACAGAACACAATACACTTGTTCAAAATGCGCGAAGGTGTTTAACCGTTGCGTTAATTAACGAGCCACTACGACGCTGATTGTCTTCGTCTAACGCGACGAGTTCCGTGCGAGTACACAATATGTACTACTCGCGTTTCGCGAAAAAAAATAAAACCACGCAATAACAAGAAAATATTTCCCGACAGCTGTGTTTCGGGTGCAAACCCGCGCGAGATGAGCGACAAAAATGCGCATACGACGAGCGCGCGCTCTCGCAATTGGCGACAAATTCCGCTCGTGTCGCAAAATGAATATAATATCGAACAATTGAGGAAGTAATTAACTCAACGGCTAACGAGTGCCACTTACCTTAATTAATTTGCTGCGGAGTGTTCGGCCGAAGTGATCCACTCGCTGTCTCAGCGCGCTTTACAAGTGACGTGAATTACGCGATCGATTTTGATTCGATTGAGCTATGATAGATAGACGCTTTTCCGCAACGCGCCCCCGAGAATCGCGCGAACACGACGAGTACCGTAATTAATCACGACTGCGCACTCTAATTAACGCGTCGCTGCAATTTTTCCGATCGCACATTTTTTTTAGTTACTAATTTGTAGTCGAAGCACAATTTTGCCGAGTAAAAAAAGCGTATACGTAACGGGGAAACAAATGAGCGACAAGATGTTGTCGACGCGCGAAATATAAAACGCGCATGCGCGACGCGTGCTTTGCGCCAATTCATTCGAGTCAAGTAGATCGATATGCGATTGATCGAATCGATCGCATATCGATTGTTGTGACGATCGATATGTGATCGCATATCGATTGCTATGACGATCGATATGTGATCGATTTGATCGATTGCGCGACGCTGTATAGGTATAACGCGACACTGTGCGATGTCAAGTTCCGAAAGAATCATGCGCGAAGACAACGTTAAATAACCGTAATCAAATTTTGCAATTGTGTGCCCACAAACTAATAAACATATCACGCCAGTTTCTCATTGTACGCGCGGCGTTATGCATAAGTTAAAATACACATTCGTCAAGTAAACAACGGGCGGTCGAAACTTTAGAAACAACTTTGCGGTTAATGTTAACTCGAAGCGAAATGCGAGATGCGCATGCGCGCGCGGCACGCTCGCGACAAATTTGTTTTCGCCGCGCAAAACAAGCAATTTGTACAAGTAATAAAAGAAAGAGAGAGAGAGAGAGAGAGAGAGAGTAATTAGCCTAATAGCGTGTTTCAGACACGGCGAAAACAGTAGGGTTATTACGGGATGAATAGTAATGTAAATTGGAGATGAAAATTGCTGTAATTTTGTAGTTAGTTTATACATGAGAAACTTCAAGCGCATTTGACTTGACGCGCAGCAGCGTGGCAGAAACTGATATAGCATAAATTATTATTGCGTTGGTTAATTATTGCGTAACGAATATATCTAATAACTTCAATAATCTGATACGTAATCATCGTTTTTGAATAAATGAGAGAACCGGAGATGAACAAATTATCGCATTCACGCATAATGCATGTTAAAGTAACTGGCAGTTGATGCAACGATGTTTATTACCGCTATATCATTACTGCAAATGATAATCAATCGGGATTCATGTTTTATATGTGTACGTGCACAATGATTTTTAAAAATTTCACAATTGAGTTTACGTTTATGTATCCAATTATATGAAAGAGAAATAAGAAGAAAAGAGCGGAAGAAACTTGTAATGAAAAAAAAAAAAAAAAAAAGAAAAAACCTCAAATGGTGTGATTTTTCATCACAAGTAATCGCATCCGAAACGGGGAATAAGTCGTATTACATATGACACACTGAAATCTTGGCATGTTTTTCCTCGCGATATAATTTTTATCGTCGAAAGAAAATGCGCACGCAACACCGTTTCCCGAATACCGCAGTCATATTTCCAGAGACAAAGGAGAAAATCCCTTCGCGCACGAGATTTCGTGCGCATTCGAAAACTTGCGCGTACTGATCACGTGACTGCGTCAACAGATCCGTACTTATACGCGTGGTTTACACGAGACATTTCACAAGAACCATCTGAATTTTTATTTTTATTGTTTGTTTAAGCTGAATTTTGTAGCAGAGAATTGTTGAATACTTAAACGATCAAATTTATTTATTTAACAACGTATAGAACTTCGTAATACGAGCCGTTTTCTTTTTTTCATTCGCGTATAATATAAACTTTTTTAGATTTCACATGGAAGAGTTAATGTATCCGAAATTAGTTAATTTATCAAACGACGAGTGTGTGAAACAATAATTTTTTTATCAAATGTTATAATATATTTTTATGTCATATATATATTTCTTATTTATTTAAAACGTGACGCGTTCGATGCATAATGCGTGATTTCATAATGTAAAAACGTAATAATGCGTGCGTGACGTGGTGCGTGACTGGTGATGCCACCGCTACTGCGCATGTGTGGAAATGGTCTCTCCATTTGGAAATCACTGTTGAGCAGCGTCACTATAGTGCTGTGTACTGTATGCGCGACGAAAATCTATATTAAAATGGAGGAGAAGAGTCAAGTTGCAGAACGGGAAACTAAAAAGGATGAGGTGCACGAAAAGGATGCGCGGAACAAGAGGTACGTGGTGGACGCTTCGTTTCATGAAAAAAATGACAGATACGATCTGGTTCACGGGGGGATCCGCGGAGCACCACTCAGCATTTACCTCATCGTCTTAACCTATATTCGTTTGACGGATGCCCCGTGAACGGACTCACGGACACGTCCGCCGCATAACTATTGATGATTATATTCCTACTAGACGTATTGTCGCAGCGAAATTTGCGTAAAGCGAGGACACGTCCGGATCGATTATGTAGTACTTCTCTTGCATCAATTGTTACCCGATCTTATTTCTTTGTGTAGCGCGATTTATTCTTACAAATATATTTTATTCTAATGTAATTTAATTTCATTATCTGACATTTAATCGATATGTATAAGAAAATCACAACTCTTCAATCACTCTTTGATCACTGTCAATTTCTGTTTGTACAAATAAAAGTTTTTGTGTATTTTCTGCTACAATTATGTGTGTGTGTGTGTGCATATCTATATATTTCTGCTATAGTTATTTATTTATCTCAAATAGACAGACCTAAAGGTTCTAATATATAAAACAAGAAAATCAAAAATAAAATACTAATTGTATATACAAATCATTATAACAGTAATATAGTAAAAAAATAAACAGCTAAGGTAAAACTATAATTTGAAATGATGACTTTGATAATTTAAAGGTGTGTATGCGATTTATGTTATAGTATTACTTTCATTTCAATATGTATTTACATCCTTTATTTCTTCTTTTTTGTTTTTTGTTTTNTATTCAGTGGTGCTGAGGATGATCAAAAATAAATGATCGAAACGTTCACCTTATTTAAATTGTATATTAAATTTACTACCTTTGATCAGTGGTTTAAGGCTGTGCGGGTCTATTTTGATTAATTGTTATTTATACGGCCTGTTTCTAATTTATAATTTGAATTACAAAGTTTATAAAAACATCTCGTATATAAAAATATAAACACAGAAAAAACACAAAATCACATTGTATGCAAATCCAAACGCGCAATTAAACTTAGTAATACTGACAAGGTCTTCATGCAAAAAGGTGTTATTCAATCTAATCAAACATGTAGAAAAATCAAAACTTTAATTATAGTACAGATATAGATATTTCTTAGAATTATAAGTGTTTGATGACGGACATGTTCGTGAGTTATGTTTATATAGAATATTTTATTTGTGTGTAAAATAGCATATATCTATTATATATTAATATATGCTAAAAAAAACTTTTAATCGTATTGTAGCGCTAAAAAAAGAGAAGCTCGGAAGAAAAAGAAAGAAGCGGCGCATGCAGCCAGTGAAAATCATAATAATAACAGAGACGATACAGAGATGCCTAGTCCGTGCAATATTTCCATAAAGGATATCCAGATGGCGATGGAAGCTTTTAACATGCAACAAAAACCTGCCAAAACTCAGGAAGAAGCCATGCAAAAGCCTTATCAATTTTGGAGCACACAGCCAGTACCAAAAATGGGTGAATAATCAGAGATTTGTTGTATTAAATTACATTTTTTTTTTTTTTTTGGTGTGTATTAGAATAAATTCTTATTCTATCGCGTTTCAGATGAGAAAATTGTACGCAACGAGCCAATTGAACCGGATAAAACATCTATTAGAGCTGAACCGTATTCACTACCTCCGGACTTTCAATGGGATACCTTAAATCTAGATGATCCTCTGGTCTTATCAGAATTATACACACTACTCTCAGAGAATTACGTGGAAGATGATGATGCAATGTTTAGATTTGATTATCCTCCAAATTTTTTGAAATGGGCGCTGCAACCACCCGGTTGGTGTAAGGAATGGCATTGCGGCGTACGAGTGACCAAGAGCGGACGTCTAGTCGGTTTTATTTCCGCCATTCCAGCTACTCTACGTGTCTATAATCAGTGAGCAATTCACATGTTGTAGTAATTTCACATTTTTGCAATATAATGGCAAACGTATTTTTAGTACTCAAAAAATGGTGGAGATAAATTTCTTGTGTGTGCACAAGAAACTGAGATCAAAGAGAGTGGCGCCTGTATTAATACGTGAAATTACTAGGAGAGTGAATCTAAAGAACATCTTTCAAGCTGTGTACACTGCCGGTGTTGTTTTACCAAAACCGATTGCGACATGCAGGTTGTGTGCAAGGCGCTTAGAATTTATTTTATTTGATTTATTGTATTTTAAGTTAATGAACGTTTGTTATATTGTAGATACTGGCATCGATCTTTAAATCCAAAGAAATTAATTGACATCAAATTCTCTCATCTCACTCGCAATATGACGATGCAGAGAACTTTAAAACTATACAAACTGCCAGAAAACACGAAAGTTCCGGGATTCAGAAAACTGGTTTATACGGATATACCGCAAGCGCATAAGATATTAACAGAAGTAAGTACTAGTAAATGAGTCACTATCGATCACAATATACACAGTATCGATCCTTACAACGGATTTGCCTTGCAGTATCTGGAGAAATTTGATCTCGCTCCGATATTCTCGGTAGAAGAGTTCAAACATTGGTTTTTGCCACAAGCTGGTATTATTAATAGTTTTGTAGTTGAGAAGGAAGGCAAGATTACTGATATGGTGAGTTATTATACGTTACCGAGCTCTATTATGCATCATCAGACACACAAAACCCTCAAAGCCGCGTACAGCTTTTATAACGTGTCTACCACAACGCCATGGCTCGAGCTGATGATGGACGCTCTGATATCCGCGCGTGACGTAAGTTCATTTATTATTTATTTGCCGCACAGAGTTTTCAATGAAACTTTTGAACACGCAATTTTTTTATCTGCAGTTGGGTTTTGATGTGTTCAATGCGTTGGATCTTATGGATAACAAAGAGTTCTTAGAACCTCTTAAATTCGGTATCGGCGATGGCAATCTTCAGTACTATCTGTACAATTGGCGTTGTCCCAGTATGACACCTGGCAAGATTGGTCTTGTACTACAGTAGACTTCTAGCTCAGCGACTAGCTGTCTAGAGAAAGAGAGAAAAAAAAAGTTTGCAAATCTTGCAAAAAAAGATAGTCATTAAATGCGAGCAAACAAAAGATAACAAACAGCAATAGAAAAAATAAAACGGTGATGTTAAACGGAGACGAGTGACACTGGCAATTTTGTTTGTCAACGGGTATGGTTTGGAAGTATGTGAGTTTTGAATTATAGAGGAAGATGCGTCAAGACGGATTAACTCAGTCTCAATAGTCACTCTTGTTTTCGGCGTTAGCACTTCTGACAATGTCGTTCGAAGTTGGGCTGATGCGCGATCGAGATCGTTATGAAAATTTGTGCATTGTACAGCGCACGTGTATATACGTATTTGCGTGACTCGAGAAATGTAGATAAGTATCATGTGATTAATAGGAATTATGGGATATCCTGTAAGGACCCAACAAGAATTTCCCATTTTCAATAACGTAAGCCTCTTTAGACTGCAAAATAAACTCTACTTGTTTTTCCTTTACACCTTCTCGGCTAATTAGGTAACAACGTATGCCAGTGTGAGAGACACACAAGTTAAAAATAAAGTGAGATTTATCGAGAATAAAAATTGATTTTTATATATTTTCCTGCCAGTTTCTCCTTGTTTTTATCTAACGTGAAGCCCAGGGTTTGACATCTGTTCTTCTGAAGGACAAAACTTGTCACAATATTCTTAGAATATTCTATAATATTCTATGAATATTAATAATACGTTTAATATTCTAAAAATGTGCAGAATATTACTTGATATGAAATAATATTATGCGCTTATAGGGTATATACATGTTTGTTTTTATATACAATATATATAAACAGAGAGAAGCCTGAGAGCGGCCAGGTCCATAAGAGAATGTGTAATCACCTTTCCACCCCGTAAACTAGCGCATGTCCACGAGTAGTACACAATGGAACTACGCAGCCAGTCCACGAGCGACACGTCGGTGCGCTATGTCCACAGGGTGCGGTTCTATTCTGTACTATGTGCACGAATTTAAATGGTCACTTTCTTTAAGTGTGTGAATATATTCGAGAGCGTGAATTTGATTTTGTTGAAATTTAAAACGACCGATCTCGTGATGAGAAAATGAGAAAGGAAAACAGAAAAGAATAAGAAAAACCATTGCAACTTTTCGTACAACATAAATGTGATATACCAGAAAATATGTGATAGTCAAGAAAAGAATCTTATTTTAGCGAGCAACATCAGAATTCGTGGAGTGTAGTCAAATATCATCTCCTTTTACATCATCATTTGCTGCTCTGTGTTTTATAAATTTTATTTTATTTTCTTAAAAATACTACATATATATATATATAGATACAAAATACATAAAAAACCATGTATATTATACAAAGGTGTTTTAACGGTACACAAATATAAATGTCAGAAAAGTTGCAATTCCAAGAAATATAGCTTTTGCTTTTTTATTTAAAACTCTTTATCAGTGTGTTTTCTATTTCCAAGTTTCATTTTACAATTNTTTTATACATTACAATAGAATACAATTCTATTACACATTTATTACATAAAACATACAATATAATACAATATAATACAATATTATATAATATAATATAAATAGTTATATATAATCCTACCTACCTATCTTAGATATATCTTAAACGTTACTAGCGTTATTAATTAGGATTAAGGCTGCATAACAGCCTTGATCCTAATTGTACATTTTTATTTCTTCTACCTACCTACTTCCGATCTAACATATTTCCTATCTATCCGGCCTAATTTATTTTCTACAAGCGCTTGTAGATAATAAATCCCTACCTACACAGATAACTACCTACCTACCTACCTATTTACTTTGAAAAGTTTTAAAACCTATCAAATATTTTACGCGAGGGGCAATTGTTTTAAAACTAAAAAATAATATTTTAGGTATATTTTAGTTTCACGTCCGCGTTTTGTTTTAGATTTTATGATTGAAAGAAGAATTATATCCACCCGATAAAGCCCATCATGTATAATTAAAAGAGATAGAAATATTAATATTTTATAATAGATAAAAAAATATATAT